CCCCTTCGCGCTGAAGGGGGCCATGAGCATCCGGCCTGCCCAGGTGCGGGAGGGAAGGGCGGAGCGGCAGAACCCCGCCTTGGCTCTCAGGACTTTAAACGGACCTTTAAAAAGGTCTTTAAAAAAAAAAAAAATTTGTTTGTTTTGGTTTATTACTTTCTTTCCTTGTCTTCAGCATTTATGATCCTGAAGCTGGCTATTATATCAAATATGAAATGAATAGTCAACTCCACCCCATCCCTCGCTCTGTGTAGATACAGGCAAATTAGAAGTGTTTACCCTTGGAAACGTGTGCATCGATTACATTAAATGAGTGAAGAAAGGAAAAAAAATATATTATTTCCATAATAGGCATGTGAAGAGCGGGGAAACAGTGGCATAGTGCTTTGTTATATTTTATGGATCTGTGAATTTATGAACTTAGCAAATTAAACGCCATTTTTCTGTGTATAAGTGTACTCTGCTTCCAATTCCTTAAAATTTGAGTGGCTGCTTGAGGGAGCTTGCTTGTTTTCCTTTACAAGATCATGGTGGCTATGTCTAATCCATCCTGGAATGTAAAAGACAGCAGGATTTATGGTAGGCTTAATATTTTCTGCAGGTCAGTAGCTGCCTATGGGTGATGTGAAGTGTAATATAATGGAAAAAAAAATTCTGTATTCAATTTTAAGCAGTTTAATTGTTTTAAATAGAGGTATTAATTTAAATTTTCCTTGCTGTGACATTTTTGATACCATGTCTTTTAGGGAGATTCTCTGTCTCCTTTACTTCTTTTAAGAAGGAATCCACCATTACGTATTGAAACTCCTTCTTACTCCTAATTTGGAAAGTGGGGGAAGAAAGCAAATGGAGCACAGTTGTACCTGAAATTTAATACATTTTCTTACACTTTCATAGTTGTGGTTTGAAAATGGGTGGATCAACTGCTGTCAGACAAAAAAAGGCTTGATAGAATTCACTTTCATTTATATACTTTTCTGTAGTATTCTTTGAAACATCTTGCAAAGATCAAAGTTCTTATTGTGACAATATCCATACTAATTACTAATTGATGTAGATTTTTTTAATTTTTAAGGTAGGAGATCTAAACTAAAAGGTTAACTGGGAGAAACCAAGAACTTTAGAAGGATTGACAGTAAGATGGTGTGTGGGTTACACGTCATCTTTCTTACTAAAGGAAGAACATGGAACTGCACCAGCAGAAGTCACTGAAGCACCAAAATACATTATGCTGCTTTTCCCTGGTAAACACAGCTAGCTAGTTATCTGTGTCTTATTAAGCATTTCCCAACGAAAAGTGTGTTCCAAGACAGCTCAAAGCTGTTTCTGATTTTCATTTTGACTGCTAAGAAGAGTAGAGTTTGAAAGAGCCGTATTTGATCTAGCTGCTCTGGTGCAGAGATTGACAAAGGTTTTATTTGCTACTTAAAATTCTTCATTTCAGTATCTTGCAAGTAGTAAATGTGGCCAGTATGTTGACATTGGAATTCTAGCATCTGATTTACAGAAAACCTACAGGTGAGCAAAGATTTGTATTCTTATATTCTACAACAGTAAGATCATTTCCACTCCAGTGTTTTCCTCTGCTGATATATCTAGTAACTAAAATTTTATTAATACATTGCGAGATCCAGTTGCAGTTTGGTTTTGTGGGTTCCTTTTTTTTGTTTTAATTAAACAGCTACAGATGCATTACAGCTGTTGGTCTTCACCCCAGTGAGCTTAAAATTCTCACTGGGAAAATAACACTTCAGTGCAGGCAGATGAGGGAGATACAGGATTCAGTAAGACACTAAATCTTGCTTGGTTGCTCAGCAGGACAGTCAGTCTTGCCTAATTATTTTTAGGCTGTTAGCTTTCCTGGGTGGGGAGCAAGGTTGTGTTTCAGCACATCATTGGTGGGTGTGAGGGTTCATGAAGGTGAAGAAGTATATTCACTCATGTTTTCATGTTCTATTTATTTGTGCCTTGTTAGAGAAAGGGAGCCAAACCTTTTGCTTAGGTCTTGGGTGTGTGTTTTGCTTTTCCTCTGTCAGCTATTGCATAAAAACAAATAAAGATATACTCAGTAAGTTAAGGTAAAAGACTGATAACTTTTGTTTGTATAAGGATGCTCATTGAATCAGATTTTTCTCACAGTGACCATTATTAATTAGCACAGTTACTCCTCACTGGACTGTCCTTTCTAGGCTGTAGTCCTATGTCCATGTTCTTGTTTGAATTAAAATTGAAAAATCGGTAACATTGTAAATAGAATCCAGTGTGCCCATTTGTATGTTGCCACTTTTCTATATCTATAGTTAAAGACGACCTTGATAATTTTTACTAAACATCCCTTTAGAGACAGGTATAGTTTAGTGGCTTTTGTTTCATCCCAGTGATTGATATTCCAGGCTTAAGAAAAAACAATCACATTTTCACATAGTTGGTTCTTAATAAGAATTTGTGTAGAAACTTGTGTAAAAACTTACAACCTATTTTTTCCACTGAGAATGACAGTATGTTGAAGGGAGAAAGCAGTTGGTGTAACCTGTTTATTTTGTTTTTTTCAGTGCAGAATATGGACGAAGAAAAAGAAATGCTTTTAGAATACAAGTTGAAAAAGGTAGTTCTGTTAGTATAATGTCCAAGATGCCAAATTCTTTGATTATGCTTTGACTGTTTTTTTAACATCTGAACTTTTTCTTTCAGTGTTTAGAATAATCAGTAGTGAAAAAGAACATGAAGAGTTAGCAGTTTTAGAAGCTGAACATGTGGCAAAAAGAGCAAGACAACAGGAGAAAAATGAGTAAGAAGAATTTTTACCCTTAGATTACTTCAATAATGCCATTAGTATTATCATTTCATTAAAGCTTTTTGTCTTCATATTATTAAATTTTGATTGTCTCAAGGTTACAGATAGATCCTTGATTTCTGATAGGCTTGTTTTATCAGAAGTTACCTGTAGTTAATGAAAGCACATTTTTTTCACTGCAGACAAGCAGATACTAGAGCCAATCATGATTTTTCTGTTACAGATAACAGACATCCTTGAATTAGTGGAGATCCTTGGGGCTTCCTTGATAGTTGTCCACATATGGCCCCAGTCCTCATGTGATTCAGTCTCTTTGTTTTGTTCTTAATCTTTCTTGGGTGTGAGAGATATTAGCTAAATCTGAGAGATAAGGCTGCAAAACAGACTATTCAGCGTAAATACTGCTGGATGTGAGAAGGTCAGGACATTTGAAGATGAGGTGGTCAGAGACCTGCTACACCACTTGGATGCAAACAAGTCTGTGGGACCAGATGGATTAGAGCCAAGGGTGCTGAGGGAGTTGGCAGATGTGCTTGCCAAGCTGCTGTCCATGATTTACCTGAAATCACGGCTAACTGGGGACGTCCCATTGGACTGGACGGTGGCAAATGTGACACCCATCTACAAGAAAGGCAGAAAGGATGATCCAGGAAACTATAGACCTGTCAGTCTGACATTGGTGCCAGGGAGGGTCATGAAGCAGGTTGTCTCGGGTGCCATTAAAAGTCGTAAAATGGACAACCAGAGGATCAGGCCCAGTCAGCATGGGCTTATGGAAGGCAGGTCCTGCCTGACAAACCTGATCTCCTCCTATGACAAGATGACCCAACTGTTGGACATGGGAGAAGCTGTTGATATTATCTACCTGGATTTTTGAAAAGCATTCGACACAGTTCCCCACAGAATTCTCACAGAAAAATTGGCTGCCCATGTCCTGGATGAGCGAACGGTCTGCTGGGTCAAGCACTGGCTGGATGGACGGTCCCAGAGAGTTGGTCAATGGAGCTAAATCCAGCTGGCAGCTGGTCACAAGTGGTGTTCCTCAGAGCTCAGTGTTGGGACCGTTTCTGTTCAACATCTTTATTGATAAGGACATAGAGTGTATCATCAGTAAATTCGCAGATGACACCAAGTTAAGCAGGAATGTTGATCTGCGTGAGGACAGGGAGGCTCTACAGAGAGACTTGGGTAGATTGGATCGGTGGGCAAATGTTGATAGGATGAACTTTGACAAGTCCAAGTGCCAGGTCCTGCGCTTGGGCCACAACAACCCCATGCATGGCTACAGGCTTGGGGTGGTGTGGATGGAGCTGTCTGGGAGAGAAGGATCTGGGGGTTCTAATTGAGAAGCAGCTGAACATGAGCCAGCAGTGTGCCCAGGTGGCCAAGAAAGCCAACGGCATCCTGGCTTGTATTAGAAATAGTGTGACCATCAGAGGTAGGGAGGTGACAGTCCCCCTGTACTCTGCACTGGTGAGGCCACACCTGGAGTGTTGTGTCCAGTTTTGGGCACCTCAATACGAGAGAGATATCGAGGTGCTGGAGTGAGTGCAGAGGAGGGCAATGAAGCTGGTGAAGGTCCTGGAGAACAAATCCTGTGAGGAGAGATTGAGGGAGCTGGGACTGTTCAGTTTGAGGAGGAGAAGGCTGAGGGGAGACCTCATCACGCTCTACAGCTACCTGAAAGGACATTGTAGAGAGGTTGGTGCTGCTCTGTTCTCACAGGTGATTAGTGACAGAACAAGAGGGAATGGCTTTAAACTCCAACAGGGGAGGTTCAGACTGGACATTAGGAAAAAATTTTTCACCGAAAGAGTGATCAGACAGTGGAATAGGCTGCCCAGGGAGGTGGTGGAGTCACCATCCCTGGATGTGTTTAAGGGTCGTTTAGATGAGATGTTGGGGGATATGGTGTAGGGGAGAACTTTGTAGAGTAGGGCTGATGGTTGGACTCAATGATCCCAAGGGTCTTTTCTGACCTTGTTGGAACGAAGATTTCCTGATTCCTAACCCTGTGCGTAGTGTCACAGACCATTCTGGTTTCTCTAACCTGTGATAGATATTAAGGGTCTCATGGGAAATGATGACATTGTTGTCTGGACTAGTCTAGTTCAGCAGTGATTTGCTACTGTTTCTCTTGTGCCAACATTAGTGTCTGTATGGTCTCTTGGTGGACTGAACCAGATTCATCCTACATCACTTATTTTTAGGACTCTCTTTCAGCCAGGTTGCCAACTTGATCCAGCTCCTGACAGACTCGGAAAGGATGCATTTTTTAAACTGTTCATAGTAGTAAATTTAGAGCATGTGAGTCAGGAATTTTTCTCCAGCCTTAGGCTGCATATCATGGTTGTGGGGAACCCCGATGTAGAAATTGCATTTATTTGGTTTTGTGGGTGTCTCACTTGCAGTTCTGGTCTGATGCATTAATAGTTTTTGTCTTCCTTTCATGTAAAGGACTGAAGGTAGTGCCACAGATGACTCTGATTATGGTGATTATCCAGAAGATCTAGTAAGTTGTATTTTATTATGATCATATTTGCATAGCACTTGATTCTGTGTTATGAAATTGCAATCCACTCGGAGAGTTTAAAAGTGGAGATGAAGATAAGGTATAGTCAGGTTTGGCAATTCCAACTGAGAATCTATAGAGCTAAAAGGAGGCTATTTTCTGAAGAAAAAGGAAAAACCTCTGGTGGGGAATCAATTTTGAGGAAAGCTTTTGGTGGCCTGAAAGACTTGGCTGTCAAATGAAATGATTAAAGGAGCTGATGTATCTTGACTATTACTAAAAGAGGTGACTGTCAAATTGACAGGGGTCATTTCAGGGTAAATTGCAAAGTCTGCTGCCTCTTCAACCAGCAGATGTAGTTTTATATGCAGTCATTTTATTTGCAGAGGAGTGGGTTGGAAGATGCACAACTTCTTTCTGCAGCAGAGTTAACGCTAAATTATGTTTATGAAATAGTTTTCATTGGCCTCTTAGTATAAATAATCCAAGTTATAACCTCCATATTTTCTTTTAAAATACATGAATCTGCAGTCTACAAATCACATGAACAGTTCCCTGCTGAGCTTATACAAGAAAGGAAATCCTGATTCTGTTCCAACCACTCCAAAAAGTGAACCAGTGGAAACCCCTCCTCCTATGCGAACAGCACCTCAAGCAAGCACCCTCTCAACAGGAACACGAGTTGAAACATGCATCTCTGAAGGTGGTTGGTTCATTGATAAAACTCCATGTGGAAAAGACTTTTTCATTGACCTTTCTGAGGATGCAGAAGGAGATGAAAAGAAACTGATTTCTGAGGTATTGTATATTACAGACTCAATGTGATTTAAGTAGCAAGTGTGAATATAATTTTCTCTGTAATTTGACAGGCTTTTGAAGGGTGATACTAAGACCAAAAGGACTGTCTGTTTTCCTCTCTGGATTTTAAAAATATATTATTTTTATTACAAACATACATGCTGTGTTTAAAGATAGTAAACATGTTAAATAAAAAGGAAAGATTGGCTTAAGCCCAGTGGAGTTACTTGTTTTTATCTTGGTTTCTGAAGGAGAGTCTTAGTCTGCTGTTCTCCTGTGTCAGAAGGGATTTTTGAACCTTCTTGGTCCATTTCAAGCATGTTAGTATGGGAAGTAAAAAGTCACAAAATTATTAATTTCCTCAACATTTTTTGAGGAAAATGTAGTGCTCAGTGTTAGGGAGACCCAGATTAGTGCCCATACTGAGAGAAAGAGAAGTGGAATTTAGCTGGTTTTTATTCCACTTGCTATTGACCAGCCTAACTAGTCAGGAAGCATGTGGCTTGCTGTAGCCATAGCGTGTGGTCTCCCTTAGCCAGTGGTTAAGTTTTAGTGAGCCTGGGGAAAGCTGAAGTTTTACGGATGGACAAGAGTTGGGGAAGTTGAAACTGATTTACAAAGCATTTAAAAATAGGTCCTACTCCCCATCCAGACATATTGCCCACTTTGTGATACCCCTCCTCTGTCCGTGTACACAGCTGCTCCCCCCCATCTTTTTTTTTTTCTTATTTAGAAAAAAACAACTTCGTTTTGCTGTTGAAAGCTTTCCATTTATGTATGGGAGATAACATTTATGTTATGTTGACCAGATGTTTTGGCAGGATGTTTTTTTGTTTATGTGAAGAACTACCTTTACATCTGCCTTTCTAGTTACACAAAATGCTTACTGAATGGGCAGATTTGACAAATCATCCCATTATCCTGGTACTGCTGCATCCTCTTATGTAGAGAAATTGAATAAAAGTGAGATCTTAAAGTTGTTAAATGTTTGTAATACTGTATTCTTTAAAAACAAACAAAAAAACCTCTTTCATCATTGAATCTCTTTTTATTTCTTTTCTCCTGTTTTAGTCCTTTTATTATATGCAGTTAACTTGTTTCGGAATTGAATAATATTTTCTTAAGGCCACTCACAACATAGTAGTAATAAAAATTGTTTCCTTTGGAGTAAATATATTCATACAGCTTTACTCATCCCCGAAGTGGATTGCTTTATGGTATGCAGATAACTGGTATCTGATTTTTGGTTAGTGGTTTGGGGTTTTTTGTGGGGTGGGTTTAGGTTTGGGGTTTTTTTTTTACTTATAAGTATGTACTCTTAGCAAAAAAAAAACCCAAAAACCACCCCAAAACCAAAACCTGGTGTAATTAACCCTTTAATAAAGGCAGCAAATCCTAAGTAAAAAAGGATTTTCTACAAAAAGGTGTTAAATTCCTGCCTTATTGGTCTTTATTCATATGATATGTGTAAGTTAATGATCATAGACAGTTGCATGTTTTGTTCTTTGAAGCATTTGCAGAAATTCGCTGACTTGGATGGGTTTGTATATATAATTCTGGTTTTATGCCCTAGAAATCAACAGAATTTTCTGTCTTGGAGAGTGAAAGAAAGAAGACCAAGGGTAAGAGAGCAAAAAGAAAAAAAGAAGAATTTCCAGATGTAGATGGAGAAATTGATTCCGTCTTGCTTAGAGGGAAAGGTGAGAAGTAATTTTTGGTATGCTGCTCCAAACAAAGAGATGGTATTTGACTGTGAAATCTATTATCAGAGAAGTGTTTTCTGAGGTGCGGAGAAATGACCTTAAGCATTTTTAAAGAAATTTAGCCTTAATGTTGTACTAAAATTTATTCCAGTCCTGTGTATACTACCAGAAAATAATAGTACTCCATGTACTTAGCTAATTGTTTAGGCTGAGTCCTTTTTTATTTGATGTTAGCAACTACTGTTATGCCATGTCTAAATTTGTATGACTTTTCCTCCTTAACAGTTAGAAGTAAGGGACCAGAGCTTTACCACTCTTCAGTGAAGTTTGAGGATGTAGGAGGCAATGATGAAACCTTAAAGGTAAGTTGAAACTTTGTTTGTGGGATACAGAATGCACTGAATAAAATGATGTATGAAAAATGACAAAGAAATCTGGCAGAATTAATCTGTGTGGTGCTGAGATTAGCTGCTTATACCAACAGCAACAAACCTGAAATTTAAATGGAGATCTCTCTGTTTTAACAGGAAATATGCAAGATGCTCATTCATGTCCGTCATCCTGAAGTCTATAACCACTTAGGAGTGGTTCCACCTCGTGGTTTTCTTTTACATGGACCACCAGGATGTGGAAAGACACTACTTGCACAGGCAATTGCTGGGGTGAGATAACTTTAAATTTAGTTTCTTCTTTTTCTGAATTATATTTAGAGAGAAAAAATAATCCTCCTTTTGTAATAGACTAGATCTTTTCTCTTTTTTTAATCTCTTTCTCTCCTTCCTGTCTGAGTCTAAAATATATTATCTTCACTTCCTTTGTTTAAATTCCATATGTAGTTGATAGAACCTCATATATAAAGAGTGGATATAGTAACAGGGTTTTATGTTTGACCTAATTGTTTTGGGGCATTCCCAGGACAACAATATAGGCATGGGTGTTGCAAAGTCTACAAATGTAAGATACTTTTGGTTAAATTTATCATTGTGTTTTGTTTTAAATCTGGACTCAACCTTGCTATCTTTTATGAGGCATTACTTTGTTTCTATTGGGTAGCATCCCTTAATTCCAAAACTGGATGTTGCCTTGTTTGTGTCAAACTAATGATTTCAGAGCATATGACATTACTGTTGTTAATAGTTTGATGTGCGATAAGGCTGCAGTGCCGCTCTGTGCCTGTTCTGGATATAAATCTAGGGGCTGTTTAGGGCTATTCAGTAATAACCATGGACATTTCTTTTTCTTTAATACAGTTGTTTCTTATATATCACAGATTATAATCTTAAATTTAGATACATATAAATTATGAACTTTTGTAGTTCAGATTTTATCTTTGAAAGAAAATACTGATGTTTATTCCTTAAATGTTGGTTAGACCCTTCTGACATTTTCAAATATTTTAATTAAAAACATTTGGATTTTTTTGTTTTAATGCCTTACTGTGAAAAGTTACCTATTGAATGAATCTGTGATATTTAATACTTCAGTGGTATTTGTATCCTGGAAGGGTACTAAATTTGGGGAAAGAAGTATGACACAAGTGAAAAAACGTTGAGATAAATTTAATGATTAATTTACTTGTTAAATCATTTTTCTTAAATAAGAGATTTTTAATAGTGCTATTTAAGGCAAATTATCTCCTTCAAGCCCCAGGTAGTGCCTCTGGTGGCCTTGATTTGTATAAATTAGGATATTTTTTATACATAGTTCAGAGAGCTTGAAATAGGTTGCAGCTACCTGTAGCACTACTGTGCTACAGTCTATCAAAGTTAAAATTTTATTATTTTTAATAGCAGAAAGCCTTGAGTGTGAGCTTTACAAGTGCCTTACTGTACAGTTCTGCACAGATATTCCTAGAGTGAGGTAACCATACCTGGATCTCTTCCACACTGTTAAGCAATGCTTTGTTACAGATAGAAATAGACAATTTTGTCAAGAAGCAAGTCCAAGCATGAACTGAAATATGTGCCCTGAAGGACTGGGTGGGGGACCAAGGTGCAAAGCTATTTGGCAGTACAGTTGTTCTTTAATTGAATTAGGGAAACCTGACTTTTGTATCCATTTCTGTTCGCTTGGCCAAATGGCTCAGACCCATTTTAAATTGGAGAATGCTACTCATCTTTTTTAAAAGCTCTAAGATTTAGCCTTGATTACATATCTTTGGGTGTATAAGATGTCGTATTAGAAAACATTTGTCCTCTAGGACAGCCAACATTTCTAACCTCTGGATATATCATACAGTGTTCCTTGTCTCTTTCAGGAACTTGAGCTCCCAATGCTGAAAGTGGCAGCAACAGAGATGGTGTCTGGAGTGTCAGGGGAATCTGAGCAGAAACTAAGAGAATTGTTTGAGCAGGCTGTGGTGAGACACCCCTTGGAAATAACACTGAATTGTTTGTCCTTTTCTTTGTAAAGATGCATACTTTGTTGCTGTGGTTTGAGTTTGAGTGAATATTAGTGAGTGAATCTTTATATTGCTGCACACAAGTCATAGTGTCTTCCCTTCTGTGACCAGAATTCCATGGTACTAAGTGTCATGCTGTCACAGAAGACAAAGATTACTATTCTGAAATCTTGACAAAAGATAGTTTAACATATCAATGTAAAGAAAGCAACATAAATTATTTACCTATTTGGAGTTATTTGGCTTGATATATGAAAATATAAAAAAAGATATAAGAGCAGGTCACTGTGCTTTTTTGTTAGAAGGGATTTTTTGCCATTTTTGTATGGTTTGGAATTTGAGTGAATGTGAGAGACTTAAGACTTCAGGGGTTTACGTATAATGTAAGAAATTGGAGACAAGTATACAAGTGGGAGTGAACTTAAAGTTGAAGTCTTGCTTTGATGCAGCTTCCTGACTTAGGAAGAAGCAAAGAGATTTAATTTAAACAAATGCAGATTTTTCTTATTTTAGTATGTGGTTAATGTTTTGTTTCATGAGGATTGTTTTCTGTTCCTGACCTCTGAGAATGTTCTGGTTTTCCAACTTTATTCCATTTGTCTACTCTCCCCCACAACTATATATAGGTGTTTAGAGTATGTTCCTGTAAAAAAGAAGGCTAAATAGCAAAAAGATTTATTGTGAAGCTGTTAGATTATTATGTTTCTCATTCATACTACATTTTAATTTTTAGAAAGCCTTGTTAAGGTGTTGTTTAGATTAAAATTAAATAAGTGATGGCCCAGAGTTTTTAGAAATTACATATCTTTTGTATGTATAGTATTTGAGGAAAGGTTGCTGTAAAAGTTATTTTTGAAGAAATTAAAGGTATTGCATAAAATATGTTTAAAAGTAAAATCTGTTGCCTTTTTAATAGACTTTCACGTTCGCTTATGTAGCTTTTCCACGTAGTTTTTATACCAGTTTTTGTGCGGGGGGGGAAAAAAAGGCGTAGTTCCAATTGTGTGTGTGCTGTGGAATCTTTGTAGTTTAGCTGCTATTTTTCTGTCAGATAGCAGAAAAGTGAACGACGACTAGATGGCGCAGTTGCTACCCGATAACACAGAATGCATGGGGTGTAAAATACTGGGTTTTTATGTGATGTTTTTGAGGATGATTCTAGTGTTTAAGTATTCAATTTGCCCTACTAGTAATTTTTGAGAATATTAATAATCTTATGTCAGTTAAACACTATTCTGTTAGTTACACTAATGATTGTTCTGTATTAGTGTTGACTTTTTATGAAGATGAAGCACATGGAATTTTAGAACATTTGTTGGAGTTGCTCATTGCTCATTTTTACTCTTTGAACATGGTCAGGCTCTGTAGTAATCATGAAGTTGGCAGATCATTTTTCATGACCACCCACTGCTCCTTTTATTTTGTTATGTATATCAGTAATACTAGCTCTTGAAATTCCACAGCTCTAGTGTCACTAATAAAACAAACAAAAATTAAAATCAGACCTTTGTTGTCTGGTGTGTTGTGGTTTTTTTTTGGACTTAAGCAAGTAAGCAGTCACAATGGAATGTTTATGAAAAACATAAAAGTACATTTAAATTTTAAACAATATATAGAGACATTTTGAATCGTATGCCTTAATTGTTTCATAGCCTCAGCTCTGCGTAGTTTTATAGTCTGGTGGCTCTCCAGATAGCAAATAAGAATAACAAAGTTGTTCTGGGACAGGTCAGTTGTGCAGCAGACTTATAGAACAGAAAATCTCAAAAAATTATTTCTCGTGAAACACTTAATGTCAGGGTAATTTTGTAATTATTAATATTTCTTGTTCCTAGTCCAGTGCACCATGTGTCCTTTTCATTGATGAGATTGATGCAATCACCCCAAAAAGAGAAGTTGCCTCGAAGGACATGGAGCGGAGGATTGTTGCTCAGTTCCTAACTTGTATGGATGGTCAGTTTCAGAAATATCTGTACGAAGCTAAACTTTCTAATTAGCAGACTCACTGTCTACTTTCCTTCAGTAGTGACTCCTGGTTAATGTAGTGGAGATAGTGGTAACATTTTTTTCATATTTTGGCACAGTTTACCTGGGGGGTGGTGGGAAGATTCTAATAAATTTGAGGGGATGTTACTACATTATTTTCATACTGCTATGTACAGCATTATATAAGCTTGTCTGTTGTATAAACATATAATGGGAAAATGTGTCATGTCATTTGAAATGCTTAATTTTGCTTGATTGTGCAAAATGCAAGTTCTAGGTAGTAGCAATAAGGATGAACAGCAATGCAGTATAGCTGTTAATCTCTGCTGTTCTGAGTATTACTGTGTACTGCAGAAACAGTCCCATAGATACTAAACCAAAGTGGAGATGGTGAGTATGAGTACTAACTTCCTTCCTTCCTTTAGACTTGAATAATGTGGCTGCCACTACCCAGGTCCTTGTTATCGGAGCAACTAACAGACCTGACTCACTGGACCCTGCACTGAGGCGAGCTGGGAGATTTGATCGAGAAATTTGTTTAGGGATCCCAGATGAAGCAGCAAGAGAAAAGTATGTTTTACAAAGTTTAATTTTCTTTTTGATTAATTAATAAGGAAATAATATGTAAGCTAACAGACAAATTTAAGGAAAAGTATTTTATTGTGTTTAGTCCTGTTTGTGCCTGTACATGCCTCTGGATCAGCACACACTGAAAAGTGCAGAAGACAATAAGTGTGTATTTACTCTTTGTCTTGGTAGCTGTGTCTACGTTTGGGATGGTTTCCTTCCTTGTGTGCAAGTCTGCTTTTAGCATTATGTTAATGGGTTTTAAATTGCCTTAACGGTGTAGATGATGGAATTAAATGTATATTTTCTGTTGTTCAGGAAGTTAACATCCTGTCTTTGGTACTCCCTATGTAACTATTAAATTAGGAACATAAATTAAGTATATCCCGTTTGTTAGTCCTCTCAAGCACATACCTTAAGCAACAGGCCTACATTCTTTCATTCCATTCCTTGTGGAAATACACCACTCCAGTCATTAAGCTGAGCTGCAGTCATCCTGTTTTGTGTAACAGGCCCCTTTTACTCCAAAGATCTGTGACTGTCAGACTAGATTAAAAACAAAAAAAAATTTTGCTTTTTTAAAAAAGTAACTGCTACTCATTTCCACAACAGCAGAAAACACAGGAAGGGAAGTGTTAAAACAGCTGTGGCTTGTCTTCTTACAGGAAGGAAAGAAAGGTTAAAGGCTAAGTTTCTTCTAGCTCAACTAATCTTATTTCTAGGTTGAAAAAACAAACTACTCTGCTTGCAGTATTGCTTACTTTGTGTTGTCAGCACTACTGGCCATTATTTTACCCATTATTTTTTCCCCTCCTTCTGGCCATGCCTCCACTTTTTTCTTTTCTTCTTCCTCCAGATCTACTGCCCTGTAGTAACTATGTTCCTCTTGGTTGTGAGAAAACATGCAGAAGGTTAGAGATAAAGAGTTGACTGATGAGATTTCTTATTCCATAATGTTTCTTGGGTTCATGTTTAAATGTGATATTCCCAGAAATAGCACTGTTTCAAAGGATGGGAGTTGTGAATGGGAAAGCCATCACAGTGTGTAGAGATTTTTCACAAGTTAGAATATAGTCACATTTGTTCATATTATTGTTTTGTGCAATTGTTTGTATTCGTGTCCCTGGAGGTGTAGGCTTACAGGAACTGTTATTTTATTTTCTTTTTTAAATTATCTCTTCCCCCCCTGCCGCTTTTCTGGTTTGTTTTTGTTTGGGGGCAGGTAGTTGGGGGGGGTTGTTCCTTTTTTAAAAGAAAAGGGTTATATAGAACCAGAAGTCCTTATAGTATGCTGATATACCACATGATGCTGAAGACATGATTTGAACTGCTTAGCTGTGGTTCTACATCCTTAGAGGATAGAGTAGGATGAGGAAGTGTACCTGGAGAACTTGCTTTACTTGCAGTATTTTCCTGTGCACATATGAAGCACATGAAGGAAAATAATATGTGTAGGACACAAATTTGCAATGAGCCATTTACAGTTCTTAACTTTTTTACACTCTGAATCACTTGGTTAGCTACAACTGTTGTCAGGTTGAAAAATTCTTGAGAACTGAAACGCTGGGGTTTCAACCCCAAGCCCCAAATTAAGGTTGACATATGGGTGATTCCCACAGCCCTTCACAAAGGGGGGTGAGTTTACCTTTAAGCTTCCCTCCAGGGTGCTGCTGGCCTTGCAGGGAGAGCCATGAGGTAAAGGAGCCCCAGGTGCCTGCATTAAGTAACCAAGGGGCAGGTGTCCCACTGAGGGATAAAAGCTGGGACCACTTGCAGGAAGGGGTAGTGTCTGTCTGTGAGGTGGATGCCCTGTGCAGAGTTCCATGTTGGGGCAGGGCCTCCTGTCTCCCTGGAACTGGGCTCCAGTCAGGTCTGGCTTTTGTAAACATGAGCTGTGTAGAGATGCAGTATGTGCTTTCCTTGGTTTTATGTGTTTGGCTTGTTGACTCGGTTGTCTCCCGTCCCTTCTATGGGAGACTGCATTTCACCATTTATTCCACCCGTTGTTGGTCGTGTGGTGTATGTGGGCAAACAGATGAAATGTATTATAATTTTAGAGTTTTGAACAGTTTAATAATTTGTTCTGTTCATAACTTTTTCTGGTAATTATATTACCTGATTTGGTAACAATTTAAACTAGCTTTCATTGGAACTAGAATGTATGTTAATGATCTTCACTTCTTTGGTTTGTGCTGCTTTTTTAAAATATTTTCCCACTGAAGTGATGTTTTGCTGTCCTAAACAAGTTAGTTTGATCCTTCTGCTCAGAGTTCTTCATTGCCAGTATTTGTGCAGTGCATTTGGGGGTTTTTCTGTCTTTTTTTACTATTCATGTAGCTTTCAGTTGCCCTTGGCTTAGAAGAACAGCAGGAAATCTGGGTAGACCTTGAAGGAGGTTTTTAAAGCTTCAGCATTGATACAGAGTAAAACACCTCCCATCTAAAAACAAAAGTCACAAAGTATAGCACTTCACTGTCAGTTACATAGAGCTGATTTGTGTTAGTGATGGAAATACACAGGCAGGTGTAATTTTAGCTTTTGAATGAGGATGTGGTGATGCATGAGATGTACATGTAAGCTGTGTGTTGCCTATTGGAAATTTTACTGGGGACACAGGAAATATCTGCAATTATATTCCACTGACAGGGGTAGGGGAAAGATATATTGAAGATTAAAAAACAGAGCTCCTTACACAATCTGATTTCATCTGCTCTTTGCAGAACAGTTTGTTGTGGATGTTCTTCAGTAAATAAATAAAAGTGGGATGGAACACTTCATGTGGACTGAAAGAGACCTTTAATCAATGCTGTTTGTTTTCATGTGAAAATAAAAAAAAAGCTCCAGGTTCATCTTTATTTTGTTGTTATTTTTCTCTCTGCTTGATTAGAATTCTTCGGACTTTGTGCCGAAAACTTAAGCTCCCAGAGTCCTTTGAATTTCATCATTTAGCACGGCTGACTCCGGGTTATGTAGGTGCTGATCTGATGGCACTTTGTCGTGAGGCAGCTATGTGCACGGTGAACAGGGTCCTGATAAAATCTGAGAAGCAGAAATGGAAACACATACAAGCTGCAGGAAACACAGCTGGAAAAAGCATGGAAATGGGAACAGACATCCTGGTGGAAGAGGATACCAGACAACTAGAACTTCTTCCTAAGGTAAATGTTCCTTGAAGCATGTGCCTCTGATATCTTGAGCCATTTTGTAGTTGCGAAATTTATTGCTCATAAATCCTATCATCTGTAGCTATTAAATTTAGATTTAGAAATATCAGCTCCTTTGCCAGAAGCTTAACTCCTAATGACCCATATAATGGGTCTGAATAAGTGGCTTCCAAAACACACCTTCTAAAAATTGTGTTAATGTTTTATACAAGGTGTGTTTTTTCCCTTGGGTTTTCTGTTGTTGTTTGTGTTGTGTCGTTTTGTTTTCTAGCAGACCAGAGGTTAAAATAGTGACTGTATCTCTCTTCTAAAGTCTATTGATTGTTAGAGAATTGTAAGAATGTCATACTTACACTGAATTTTTACCTAGATCTTTGCTGTGCCCTCAGTGAAATACCTATTTTGATGCCCGAGGCTCTTCCCTGACCTTGCACAGTTACAGTTAGACAAAATCTAGAAGTATTTATACAGTCTGTGTTTTTCCTCCAGCTATGTGATTACTTGGGGTAAATCTCATGTGGTGTCTAGTACCTATAGCAAGTTTGAGGAAGAGGTATCTATCCAGTACAAAAGTTGGGTTAGCAATGTGACTTGAACTGCAGAGAAAGTATCTGTTAATGTGCGCTACAGCTGGAGCTCTATTGCAGAAAATAGTGTTTCCAGTTCCAGAATTATTCTGTAACATGCTGTGGTAAGTGAACCAGAACATCTTTATATAGCTTTCTTGGCCCTCCTCCTCAAAATTTGGGGTGTGTATGTGCCTTCATTATCTGTAGGCTTCCTAAAGGTTTCTCTGAAGAAGTAAAACAAAGTGATTTTAAATCCACATTTTACTCAGATTCTGGTTTTAGAAGGACTGTCAAAGAAAACTATTATTGTAATTAACAAAAAACAGTGTAAAAAGCATACTAAGCCTTTGTTTTAGAGTAACATAATCGTACTGCATACCTCCCAGTGTTTCCTGGAGCCTGATGTAGCCAAAAGAGAGTGGGGAGGGGCAGGTAGTTGCAGCTTTTATTAACATCACCATGATCAAAGGGGTTATTGAGGATGAGGAAGTCTTAATCCTAACAGAGCCATATTTTGATAGCTGGCAGGAGGTTGACATAGTCTAATACAGGGTATTGTCATTAAAACTGTTATGTTATGTTTATAATGGAAAAATAAACATACAAAACCTTTAAAAATCATTCACACAATTCAAGTAAACAAACCCAGTGGTCTAGGCTCTTTCAGAGTTTCTCTTAATGGCTCTGTTAAGAAGAGGAGGGAGGACTTAAAAGGAATATTGGGCACTATGAACGCTTCTGTTTCTTTGTGATCAGTTTGTAGACCTATCTTTGCAAAAAAAAATAGGAAGTGATACTTTTCCCATATACTGGTGTAGGAAAAAGGTGTAAACTTAAATTTTTATTCTCCCCCACCCATTTTACAATTAAAATCCTGGTATAGTTTTACTTACAGGGGGCAGTATCAATTTGTTTAGATACTGCCTTTCCTTAATAGAACTGGGATATATTTATGTTGTGAAGGTATAAAATTCTTTAATCTAGTATTTTCTCAGATAGTTTCCTCAATGAGGAACTGATTAGAACATACCTGCCTGGGGTGCTGTGGTCTGCAGGGCAGGGACAGTGCTGAAAAACGTTACCCTGTATCTCTATTCTGTCTGCCCAAACTTTATCAGGGCCTGATACAAAACCAGGTCTAATTAGCCTGAGGAAATGACTTGATGATTTGAAATCAGATTATGTTAAATAAAAGTATCTAAAAATCCATGTGTGTCTGTGTTAAGAGTTTTAAAGGTTTATATGCAACTGAATATTCCACAAAGTCTTGAAATTGTGCTGTTCAGAAGAGTTGTTCACTTTCTCTTGAGAGCAATTTCTTATTAAAAAGGGAGTTAATACATATTTTTGAAATTTCAGCATGGAAAAAACTTTCTCCTAATCAGTGTGGGTGAAGTGGTAGGAAGAATTTGAAGACAGAATGCATGTGCTAGCTCTGTTTCCACAGTATCTAAATCAAGATTGTCGTCTGTCAGCTCAGTGCTTTCACAAGTGTTAAATGTACATAGTGCTCTCCTGGAACATTTTTATCATTAATGTTAATTTTTAATGTTATTACATATTTTATATGTATTGTACATAATTGCTTTTTAGTAATTAATATTACAGTTGAAGGAAGTTATTGCTTTGAAAAAGCCCTTAAAAAAATGGTTCTTAAAATTTAATCCAGTGCATAATATGTTGTTCTCTCCCTTTCCTTGTACACTAAGGATGAATTGCAGAGACTTTTGGATTTGCTGAAGAAGCAAGACCCCTTGCCCGAGGAACAGCTGCAGAAGCTGTGCATTGAGATGAATGATTTTATTGTTGCACTGTCATCAGTGCAACCCTCTGCCAAGAGAGAAGGCTTTGTCACAATTCCTGATGTGACATGGGCAGATATTGGAGCCCTGGAGGATGTTCGGGAGGAACTGACTATGGCAATATTGGTATGTCTTAACCTTACTTTCAAAGATTTTTTTGCATTTCCACCTATGCAGGAAATAAAACTGTGCTTGTTTGTTTTTTAATATTTATTTTTAAGATACAATGTGCTGTCCATGAGTTATAACATGACACAATCTAGAAATTTTGCAGCATTTAAAATGCAACTCATTTAAAATAGTCAGACTTACATAATTTGCTTTCAAATTTGTTACAAGTCTGGTGCATGTATTTAACATCTCACTGACTGTGTTCATGCTTTCAGGTTCTTTTCAGTATGTTCATTATTGTTGAATCTTAAGTATTGGTACAAAACTTTTAGAATAACCTTAGTTACACAACTACCACACAAAGAGTTGGAGACAGAAGGCTAGCAGTCTTGCTGCCAGTCAAAGGAGTACTTAATGCTGACACCTTAAGATGAGAACTTAGGAAACTAAAATCTTTGCCTCTGTATAATGATACTTCCTCTGTTTTGGGGTACTTAACAGTGCAAGATAATAAGATGCTGATTGACTGTTTATTCTTTTAGGCTATAAAGAATTGGAATAAAGAGCCTTCTTATGAATTATTTTTCATCCAAACTGAAAAGTTTCGTGTTTAGTTTTTTGTCACAGATAACTGTGATTTGTTTTATAGGCACCTGTACGAAACCCAGAGCAGTTTAAAGCTCTGGGCCTGACTAGTCCAGCTGGTGTCCTGCTTGCAGGGCCTCCTGGGTGTGGCAAAACACTGTTAGCTAAGGTAATACATTTTTCTAAACATGTTTAAAAATACTGGAGAATCTTCTTGAAGTGGATGTTTTTGTAGGAATGATGAGTCTGGATGATACTCCCAGAAGTTGGGCTTTTCTCACCATTTCTCATCAGAAAATTAAATTTGGGCCTCTGTGCTAAAGTTACTTGATTTTCTTGTTATAAACTCATGATCTTACTTGAATTGAGAGGGTGTTACTGCAAAATTTGAAGGAATGAAGATGGTTAAGAAGAAAGTAGCGAAGATGGGAAGGAACTCTATTAGATAATCACTTCTATGGAATATTTCATTGTAACTAAATAATATATTTGGAAGTAGCCTACACTTTTATGCATTCTTATTATATTTACCTTACTGAAAATACTTTTGTTTTCCTTCTCCTTGAGCATTTCAGTTCTTAGGATCTCCCCATTTAAGTGCAGATAATCATGCAGGCTTCCAGATTGTTTTCAAATGCTCTTATGTAGTTGAGTAACTCTTTAACTCCCATTAATTATTGAAAATTCTACAACTAATGTGGGGGAGGGAGGTGGAGTGTGAATCTAGAACACTGCCTCATTAAAGAGAGAACACCTTGCTACATTCCCTACCCCCCTCCCATTCTTAATTGCAGATAATTATACTTTGTACTGTTTTGTGTATCTTACAAACAGTTAAAAATTATGTTCCTTCACTTAAGTTTGTTTATCATACTAAGGACAGAACAAAAGAAAACATGAGAAAATTGTGTTTTATTTATGTGTCTTTCCCTTTTTGATAGGCTGTGGCAAATGAGTCTGGACTGAACTTCATATCAGTGAAAGGTCCTGAACTGCTAAATATGGTATGCACTAACGATTGTGCTTTTGGTTTTTGTGGAGTTCTTGTCCAAAGCTTGGGGCAAGCAAAATTCCTCATAATTGCACAACTGATACTGCTGCAACTGAAGTTGCCTCATTTAAACTCTGCTTAAAGTTCTTAGCAGTAAAGTTGTTCATGTGAAAAGGAAAAAGCTATCTGGGTAGTTTAAGTATATATCTTTGTTTAGATGGAGCCTCCTTGACTGAAGTAGGATTTCTAAATGACCAACTACATGTGTCATTGCTTTTATGTAGATCAGGAAAAAGAACAAAAATTCAAATCTGTGGTGAGAACAGTCGGTGATCAGTAACTGCAAATCAGCAGCTTTCACTAACCAAAATAAAATTTTCAACTTTCGGGTTCAGAAATGTGCTCTGCCAGTCGTTTCAACTTCTTAATGGAAGTTTGAAACCTTGGAAAGCAATGTGGTGTTTCAGTTGATGAAAGTGATTTTTAAAAATTTGAAATGTTAACAGATGAAAGTGCTGTAATCTGACTTGTTGAAGCATTGTACTTAGAAGTGTTGCGATATGGCTTCAGTCCTTTTAGAGTTAAGAGAATGTGTTGAACTGAGCAAGACTGCTGCAGCCCACATCTCAAAAGACCATGGCAGTTGTCTATTTATCAGTAATATGGAGGCTGAAACCAAAATACTGGATTTGATTATTCTTTTCCCAACATTTTTTAAATGTGTACTTCAAGTACTGATACAGGCAGGAAATGTAACTCTTAAGTTAATGAGGAGCCCGACTTCCTTGTTGAGTAAAGAGAAAATGTCTGGCTGTGATTCAGACTGTGTTAAAACATAAATTGTATCAAAACATGTTTATGTGGAAAAAATGAAGTGTTTGCATGTACAACTTGTCAACCCCCACCCCTGCAATTCACCATTCACAGTGAAATTCTGGCTTACTTTTCAGTTACTTACCACCAACTCCCCTGTCTTCAGGCAACTACTATATGAACTTCAGATGTTCATTGTGTTTGCATTGCTCACTGGGTTTCTTTATGAACAGCTGAAGAACAACAGGATCCTTAATGAAGACTGTATTTGTTAATTCTCGTCAGCAGAATGATGGCATGTTAGATTTATTCCCCAGAACGCAGGAATTCTACTAAACTCTGAATATACTGCAAACTGTCAAAAGTGGGCTAGTGACAACTAGTTCCCATGTAAATCTTCACCATAAAGAAGCAGAGATAATGGACTGTTATCAGAAGTAAACTGGTTAGCAGGTTGCATTTCTCCCTCACAAAGCACCTCAAATAACTTTTAAATTGTGTGTGACTTTTTTTTTTTTTCCAAGCAAAATTTTCATGTCTGACATTGTTTCACTTTGATTTGTCATTTGTTATAGTATGTTGGTGAAAGTGAACGTGCTGTGCGTCAAGTTTTCCAGCGTGCCAGGAATTCAGCCCCATGTGTTATATTTTTTGATGAAGTTGATGCTTTGTGCCCTCGGAGGTCTGACCGTGAAGTGAGTCTCTCTTAAAATATCTCCATAAATAATCACAGCTTCTGTGGCATTGTGCTAGCAACAGAAGTACCTGGAAAGGTGCTGTGTTCAATATCGCCCAAGAAAAACAATCTGATGGACTTTCTCACATTTGAGAAAAAATGTTGGTCAAATTCTATAAAGCTTAATATTTTTTTAGTATTCATATATAGGAAAAAAAATACAGAGAATGTGCATATATCCACCAACTTGGCTTTGTAGAGCCATAGGAAAAGATGGAGTGCAGTTTAACGTGTTTAATTTATGGCCAAATTCTGACACCTGTGCAATTATAATACTTGTATGAAGTGTGTATTTATTTGAACAACATGAAACTGGGTCATGAAAATACTTGAAGCAGAAGCATAAGTGGAACACATTAGAATTCATAGCTATTCTACCTGTGAAGTTTCTTCTGTCTTGATTTTGTTGTTTTAGAATATGATCTGCCTACACCTAGGATTAACTTCTGCTTTTGGTGGGGTGATATTAGCACACACTCTTGTCTGTGTGTTGGAAGGAAAGCTGCTCTGCTCTTTATGCAGAGGAGGAGCATCTGTTTTATGATACTGTACTGATGCATGTATGTCCATGGCTGAAAGAAAATATGCTTTTATGAATACAGTACGGTTCAGATATTACTATCAATGACTTTAACAGAAAGACTGTGGTAGTTCCAGTTCATAGAGAGAGAAATTTGATCAACTGTTTCTGAATCATACCTTGTCTTCTGAATTTGCATACTTCACTTCTTAAAAAAGCCAAGCTGAAAAGTTCAGATTTGACTTCTTGCACATCCTGAGGTGGTGGTTCTCACAGAGCCATAAAAGAAGGTGGCCAGTAAGAGGCACCACGGTAAGCATAGGTGATAGCCAAAGAGGGGGAACAAGTGTGTGTTGGCCTCACTGTATTTCAATTCTGTGGCAGCAGCTTGTTGCCTAGAAGCCCACCCCTGCTGCTCTTTACAGACTCCTTTAAGCATGTAGAGGTACTGTCTGGGCAGGAGACTGGTGACTATTACTCAGGCTGTGATACTGGTGATAGTCTTTGGGATTCATAATTGAAACTCAGGAGTGTCTGGTGTTTCCATTGGCTTTTTGAGACCTATGTGCATTTTCACCACATATTCTAATTATCCATAGGTGGATTTATGGTTTTGTATGTTTAAAATAGACTAGTAATACATAGAACAACGTTCTTCAAGATCCCCAAACAGTTCTGCTGCATAATTGAACTCTTGTTGTTCAGCTGTTCTTTTTCTCTGTCTCCCCTACTCTAAAATGTAATTCAGATTAAGCTGTTGAGTTTGGTTATAGGATGTCACTACTATGGATTTTTTTAACTGTTAAATGATATTTGTTAAATGTTATTTAACTCTGAGTAGCTCACCTGCTGAAGCTGTTGTTTTGGAGATTTAAATATTTGGAGAACTTCCCCCGCCCCCAACCTGAATATTGAGAATTTTATGGTGTTCTTGTTGAGCTAGATGTGAGAATGATAAATATAAATATCTATATGTACTTGAGTCCTTCATTTTTAATGGGAAAGAAAAGGTTTGTCACATGTTAAAATGTGTGGCAGGTGTATAGATAACATGAATTGGGGGTGGAAACATACTAAGAACATGATAGTAGAATGCAGCTTCACTGAAAGTATAAAAAAATAAACTTTTTCTCTGAGTAGTAGTTCAAGGCAGAGAGCTAGTAGATCTCTTGTTTCTTTTACTTTGAAATATTCGCATTCCCACTCTTTCCTCAATTTTGTTGACATTTCTCCTTAAAGTCAGGAGCCAGTGTTCGAGTAGTTAACCAGTTACTCACAGAGATGGATGGTCTGGAGAATCGTCAGCAGGTTTTCATTATGGCTGCCACAAACAGGCCAGGTAAGGACCCCCCAAAATCATAGATGAGAAATTAGATGTCTTTGGTTCTCTTCTGATGAAATCGTGTGTTCTTATATATTTGAATTCTATAACTAACCTTGTTCTGTTCATAAAATTACAGTGTCTCCTCAAATCCAAACCTGTTCTGATGAATTAATCTGTTCCACGTTCTTGTGACAGTGTGAGGTAGAGCAACATCTTTAAAATGTATCTTAATTAGCACCTGATACCACTGCTGTAAAATGCTTTGAAAGACCTTTGAACTGGACATTGAATTATCTCATTGGAACATAAAAGATGAAAGAGAACTCAAACATAAATGATATCTATTTTGCTGCTTAAATTGATTTTCTATTCAAAGCAATGTTGTAGTTTTCTGCTCTTTTTTTTTTTTTTTGCCTTGAGGCATCTGTCTCATGTTAAGTCATTTTTTCCATTTGCTTATCTTTTGCTTTCTGTGCTTCATGTTCCAAACGCAGTTCCCACAGCCTGAAGTTTTTCTGCTGTTCCCTTATGTTGTGTCAAGCTCTGATATTTGGAGCTGTCTGTACTCCCTTGATGGTTCTTCAGTTTTTGGTAGCTTTTGCAATTCCTGCAGCATCTTCTTAGTTAATAAACTAAACACTGACATTACTTTACAACCATCATGTGTTTTACAGTCAACTTTCTGCCTCTTTTGTATTGTGGAGAAGTCTTGTTTTATACACAGCAGGAAACTTTTCTCTTCCTGAATTTGAACTCCATCTAGAAGCTGAGAGTTAGAAGTAAAGGAATTTGTTGTCAGTATAGAATGTACACATGAAGATGTTGCACTTCCTTGGCTATGAGCATTTTTCTGAATATTGCAACTGAAATTAAATACAGGGTTACTAGTCTATCTTGGTTTTGCCAAGTGGATACTGGAATTTTGAAAAGAACCTTTTCACCTGTAGCATATATTTAGCAAATTACTGGTAATGACAGGAGACAGTTGTTTCATACTTGCATGTATTAAGTAAGGACAGGATGTAGAATTCTGAGAGAATGGCTTAATGGAGAAATAGTAGCATAGCTACTTTGAATATAAATTGTAAGATGAGAAAGTTAAAATACTTGACAGATTGCTTGGGTCCTATAGATTATAAAGGAAAATTTATTCTTAAATCACCTAAAATAGGCAACTGTGAGGTATTTTTGACTTTGACCATTGAAAAAAAACAAAGATTTTGAGGAAACTTTTCCACTTGAGTTCTTTGAACCATGACAGACAATCAAGCCTTCTATATGGTGAAGTATGAGCAGTAGATGCTTAAGTCAATATCTGCTTGTAGAAATTCCTTGATTTAAAGTGATAAGTGTTCTTGGCATGAGCTTGATGCTTCTGACCTGTCTAATCCAATGCAGAAAAGAGAATAAGGTTATACAATGTAGCACATCTATATATAGATACAGTTGGATGTACCCGGGGTGTTAGTACTAATGTCAAGTTGCCTTAGGAAAGAGATCTCTGGCTAAACTAGTTATGCTAGTGTGAGTATTTATATCAAGTAGCCTTATTTGTTAGTGTTTCTCAAGGGTTTCCTATCTAATTGCTGATGACAGTAAACTCATCATTATCTCTGACTGGTAGCTGGGGCTGTGAATTCCAGCACTTTTAAAGCTGAGGAGACATCCAGCTTGACTTTCTGCTGTACCCCCTTAAGTGTACCACAGGCGTGCACGGGGCGAATACTTTCAGGGTCAGGATGTGTATGTGGTGCTGTTCTGAGCTCATGGCTCCTCACGTAGAGGCAGCTGAGTCCAAGTGGTTTAGTAGCCTTACAAGGGCCAGTTCAGAGTAAATGTTGCTCAGACATTAACTTCAATTTATGAATACTTGTGTGTGGCAGGTTTGTCATATTCCCTAGTTTTTCTGGGTTTAGATTTACACTGAATCAGTACTTGCTTATGAGTCTTATTTTCCTGCATATATGGAATATATATCTGTATAATGTTAATCCATCCCTCTATAAGCCTTATACTGGATGCAGTTTTATGTTGGTATAAAGTACCTCTGTAACGGTTGAGGGATTTTTATTTTTTTTTCCAGTTTTAAAAAGTCACTGTTGCCTTGTTCAGCTGCAGTGGTAGATTTTACTATACCAGAATAGTTAAAATTACAAAACTTTGAGTAATGGGGGTTGAACTGATATTTGAAGCTGGGAGATTTGTAAGGCATGTGATAACAAATATCATCAAATTGAAGGATATATGTGTATCTGCAAATTCTGTACATGGAAATTAATTGTATCGATACTGTGTTAACATAGCTACTTCAAAACAATCTTTTCTGAATGGCACAGCTTGGCAGATCCAACTTTTGCTAGAGGAGGCAATTATCTATGCATTTTGGATAGAATGGATCACTTGCTTCAGAAGGATATCAGCTGTGTGTATGCATAACACTTTGGATGGATTTAGAACTTTTGGTGTGTTATCTGCATTTGTCAGTGTGGAGAAATACAGTTTCCAGTTGATGTAGCTTTCATCAGAACAACTTCTACTGAAGTTGTGGTTAAATCGGGGAAATGGATTTTTTTTTTTTCTCTTGTGTAGTTTTTTCACTGGTTCTGGGTCTCAGGAAGAGTCATTGTTCACCAAATTAAATTTTGCTAGTACGATATGGGTGCTTAATAGGAGCACCGTGCAGGTAGAGAACAGTGAGGTCTGTGCTAGGGCACTCTCACTGCCCTAAGAATGAAATGTCCAAGCAGAGATCTGTAGGAGAACCACAGCTTATACTGGCCAGTATATTTAAATGATTCCTGCAAACAGTAAAAGTTGTGGTGCCTGAAAAGCTCTTTTGCTTTTACGTCTGACATCTGTATGAAAGATTTTTCTGTCATAGTTATGTTGAATAGAGGTGCTGGGGGGCTGTGTAATGTAAGTCTAAATAATATATGTGTCCCAGCAGAACTTCCTGAAATCTTTCACTCAGCTAGTATTGTGCAATGCGAGATCTCATCTTTTTAAAATCTGTGTTAGTGTAATTTAATGGGAGAGAAAATGGCTTTTCAAGATGCTGCTTTTTTAGAGTGGTTGCATGCATGGTAGCTTTTATAGTTGGTTGCTGGTACTGTTAGTGTATGCTGTCAGCATTGTAGTCTCAAACTATTGTGCCAAGAGTCTTATCTATTATTATTATTATTATTATTAATAATAATAATAATAATATTAATATTATTAATATTACTAGCAGTAGAGTAGCGGTGGTTCCACCAGTTTCGGCATGAAGGTATGTTCCTGGTACAGTTCTGGTGAGGTGTTAGCACCTGTGACAAGGTATTGTGAAATGGTGGGTTTATATACCCCATGGCTGAAGACTGCCAAATTCTTTTTTTATAATAGACTTTAAGAACTTGGAACACTCTAATTCCCATTTTGCTAGAAGGGCAGGCACAATAGATTGGTTCCTTTGTTTATTGTATACAATCTGCAAGTGGTAATTCTTGTTCTGGCGGTGCTGAAATAATCTGTCCTTAAAAGCAGGATATTTGAATGAGTTTTGCATTTACTCAGTGACTTTGAAAGTCCTCTGTAGATTTTTCTTGCTAAATTAGCAGGGATGCAGTATTCCCAACTCAATCTCTTTCTATCTAAGTGCAGAACCAATGCCAAACTTTGTCTGAAGAGGATTAAACTTTTAAAGCACTCAGTGTTATTAAAAAGAGAGGAAAAAAGAGGCAGAAATGTCATGTCCTGTTAGAAAATTTATGGGTCAGAATAATCACATTCTTTTTCAGTCTACTTCCTTCCCCAAATCTGAGACTAAATTCTTACAAAACCATCAAGCACTACTGTTAACTAAGGTCTATAATTTCCCACAATTTTCTAGTTACCAGTGTGAGTTTAAGTATTGGTTACTGCTGATTTTTGGTCTTTTCTCACTTGCCCAAGCTTTGAACATTTATAAACTCTTTAGAGAAATGCTGACCAAGGCATCAGCAGCATTTACCATGGGATCTAAGGAACTGTATCTAACCTGAGGACTCAGACAAGAAATCAGTGAAACACTACAAACTGATAGTGATTTAAGCTTGATGTAAATTGTGATGATGTGTTTGCTTTTATTCATGATCTTTTTCTCTAGCTTTTTAAAATTAATTATTGCAAAATTCCCCTTCTACTGCTACCTTTGAACGTGGTCCTTGTTTCAGTGAGTTCTGTTTTGCTTTAGCAAGTTTATGTTAGTTTTCTATAGCTATTCACCTGGACCATGTGTTTTTTGAAACACAGTAAAAATAACCACAGTTAAAAAATAATCTTCGGTCTCTTGACAATAGTTACAGTTTTGGTTTGGGTTTTTTGTTTGTTATGTTTGTACCTGTTTATACACACTGCTAAATTAAAGGCAAGATAAGATCTAAGAAAAGCACCTAATATGTGAGGCATGGTAATAATAGTTCTAATCACACAAATCACATTTCTACATTTCACTGGCCCTTGAATGTTATGTATCTTTCACAGTAACTTTAGTGGAGTTTGTTGTGTAGGAGCAAAGTTGTTAACTGCAGCGTTCATCTGGAGTCTCAAAAAACCTTTTAAGCTTTTGAGTCTACATTCCAGAATATCATGAATGTAAGGACCTAGATCTTGTATACTTCAAATACTTTTAAAAGCTATAGTGAACATAGGAGGTTTGATCAGCACAATAGGTGGTGGTGGTGGTATGCACTGAACTTTCATAACCATGGTTGACTCTTATACAGTTGAGATAAGACATGAATAATCAACTGGAAATGACTGTGAGACTAATAGATTTTGTTATGGGACAACAGAGCGTCACATTAGAGATTCATGCAAAGATACTTTAAATAGAATTTAATGAAGAGGATTAAATTTTACTGTAGTTCGGTTTGCTATACTGCTCTCCAAAGTATTACATAATTCTCTAGACGCTAGTGCCTCTTCTAACCTTTAAAAACAAAGTAAGGAATGGATGTACTCTAAACGTTATCTTACATAATTTTGCTAAATTATTTGGAAAATGTCTTCTAATGACATAGTCATTGACTACATCAGAAAACCAAGACAGAAGAATTTTAACTAGACATTTCTCTTAATAGAAGTATATTCTCTCTGTGAGACAACTGCTTGGAAAAGTAGTGCTGTGTGTTACCGTGTTTCCAAGCTTCACTTTCAAACTTGAGAGATAATAATAGGCTTTGAAGGAGGTATCTACAATAGCTACCTTAATTTCATTAAAATGTTAAATGTGTCTAAAATTGGTTGACTCTTTTCTGTTTAGGTAAGTTTCAAGATAATATATAGATATGATGAGAACATTATGATTTATCAGGATGGAATGCTTTGAAATTTCTAAAAGGGGATCATTATTCAGTTCTTTAAACAGATATGAAGTGCATGTAATGAGTGAGTTCAACCAGTGAGTAAATACTAATTTTCTGTGACTTGAGTTTTCAAGAACTTCAGGCCCAGGTCTGAATCGGCAGAGTGAAATCGACTTATAAGGAGATGGGGAGTGTAGATCTGTGTTTTAAACTTGGTATGGTCTTCTCACCATTACTGCAGATTATTTAGTTAGTATGAGTTGTGGTAACTCTGAATGTGGGCAATGCATTCATCCAACTGTATGTAAATTACTACATCTTTAATCTGTATTGTAACTTCGTATCGTTGGATAAATAGTGTGGCAAGTGCCATGTTCTCAGCACACAAAATGGAAACAGTATTTTCTGTATCAAGCTTAATATTAGAAGAGCTTTTGAAATTTTAGAGTGGGGAAGTTACCAAGTACATGGTGTTGTAGTGCAATCCCTATTGATAGCATTTGTTTTGATGTTTGTAAATGATCTCTTGAGCGAACTTTGTCATCTCAATAATGTGGCAAGACTTCCATCCCCAGAGACAGAAAAACAGGAAAGTGCACTTGCGCCAGAACCAAGATAAAATATCATATAGCACTATGCACAGATGTGTAAGAGATATATTTATGTCTGGGCCTGCCATGGCGGGGATTCTGTTTAACCCCTCATTCATCTGGTCTGGATAAAATCAGTGCATCAAGTTCCTTTTTTTTCTCGCCATTCTTGTTGCATTTGCAATAGCTGATTTTTGCCTACATAGGTGACTCTGGCCATGACTGCTGTATCTTGGGGGGAAAAAAATGGTTTTGTCCAACAAAAAGATAGGGCAGCAGTTTTTAATGTATGCGTTTCATTCTACGTTTTGCTCTTTAAGCATAGGTGAGAGAGTAACTTGAACAAAACTACGCACATCTTTAGAAAGCAAATTGACTACATTGTCAAGACTCCAACTCCTGATCCTAATACAGAGTTAAGCAAATTTTTAATTTGCAAAAAAGGGATAGCTGTGCTTCTGTGCTACTGTTTTGGGGTTTGGGTGGTGATTTGGGTTGTTTTTTTTTTTTCTTTTAAACTTCTGTACAGTAAAGATTAACATCTTAATTTTTCCCAGTTCTTTACCTTTACTATATATGAATGTATGTGATTTGTCTGTTAGCTGTGTTTTGTCAAGAGGATGTGGTGATTGTAAGGGTGTGGACAGCTTCATCTGGACTTGATAGTTTCCAGTTTAAGACTTAGGTGTAACTTTCAACTGTTACTTTTGGTTGAGGTTCTTGCAACCTAACACATCTGAATAACTTACAGGCTTCAGAAAACTCTGTTATACTAAAAGTGCAGTTTTCTTTATATCTTTTGTGGGTGCTTGGGTGACTTTGCTGTTCACATTATTATAGAATGTAGGATATAATAGAATCATTTAGGTTGAAAAAGACCCTTAAGATCGAGTCCAACTGTTAACCTAACACTGCTGAGTCCACCCCTAAGCCATGTCCCTAAGTGCCACATCTACTCATCTTTTAGATACCTCTAGGGATGGTGACTCAGTATAACTGCTTAGTGAAATAGAGCAAGTGATCCTGTCATTGTTTTTTTGGTAGATGGGGAAGTAGGGAATCAAGAAGCATTTAGAAACATCATTCAGGCAGTTTGTGCTCAAACATGGACAAGAATTGAGGTCTTTCCTAGGTTATATGCCCTGTTTCTGTCTCATTATACCAATAGTCCTTAGTATTTATCTCCTGACTGGCTAGTTGTGGAAGTTCAGTGTTGAAGCCTGTGGTGCTAAAAGGCCGCTAGACATTTCTATTTCATTTAAGTGTTGAATGGTTTTCTGGAAACATTTGTGATGATTTTTGGTTTCTTGCTTCTTCACACATGATAAAATTTGGAGTCTGTTGTTCTCCATGGGAAGTATTCTGTACTTTGCAGTTCTTTTTTTTCATGAGTTTCCTATTTTACCATTCAGAAAATTAATATGTAGTAGAAATGTGAATGATCAATAAAGTTCAGTTTACATATGGGTGCTTATGATTGTCCCTCTGTACTTATTATTGCTAATTTATCACTGTGCCTTTCAAGCAGATTTGCAGTGCTCAATATGGGTAGAGTTCCTTACAGTGGAAATAAACTGGAAGCATTTTTTTCCTTTGTTATGAATTAATGTGGAATTCCTCACCTGACCATGCTACATACTTACTATATTACTGTATTGCCAAAGACAGACTTGTCCTCATTTGTGAAGATGTTAAACTGGTATTTACGAGCCATCTTTGAGCAGATGCAGCTTAACTGTCCAGGGTAATAGAGGCTCTTACTTGATGGAGATTAAATAATTTCAATCAGCTATTTTGATGCTCAGAGCTTCATATCATGGCACAAATACTTTTTTGAATCTTGGTACAAGTATGAATATATTCCTTCTTATGTGTACACTTTCGTAATGGTGTATCTCATTTCTGGATATTTTTTCTGGTTTTCTTTTTTTCCCCTCCCTAAGATATAATTGACCCAGCTATCCTGCGTCCTGGTAGACTAGATAAAACACTGTATGTGGGTTTGCCACCACCTGAAGATCGACTTGCTATTTTAAAGACCATCACCAAAGTAAGTATTTAGAAATAAATCCTTATCTTGCAGCTTGGTATAATGATTTAAGACAAATTAAATTTTACAGAGAATTGCAGGATCCTGCATGAAACGCTTTCAGATATTACACGAGGTCATAAAAATAACCCATCAACCACATCTGGGGTTTTTTGCTTTTAGGCTGCAAGGGGTTGATAAATCTTGAGTAAAGCAAACCTGTTAAACATAGAAGCTGCTGCCTTTGTAGTCAGTTTGAACAGATTTAATTAAAAGATTCCTATCTGTGTGAGTAATGGGCCTAGAAATGTTTTGTAAGCTTTTTTGGGGGGGGTTCCACACATTCACCAAAATGATTCACAAGTTCCATCTGTATTTGCTCAACAGTAGTTGTGACATTTATTTGCCTTTAGGATTAAAGGAAGCTTGTGATGATAGAGGTTGTAAATGTGAAAATGTGAAAATGTAAAATACCTGCCTCTGGTTAATGGTACATTCTACCACTTCAGAGATTTGGATTATAGAATTCTATTTTAGTATTTCTCTAAGTATGGTACAGCAGTAATCAAGGCCTTAAAAACCCCAAACACACAAAGCATTTTGAATCACTCAGATATTTATCTACTTTTTCCTGTAGATAAGACTGACTGTTAAGAGCAAATACTCTATTATATTTTTTGAGCTGCAAAGGAGTCCAAGTTTTTGCTATACAGAAAATATACCACTGTAGTATGAAAGTGTAGCAAAAAATATTTAGCAAATGTGTAAAGAAGATAATTCAGACTTGCATAACCATAAAGTTGTGGTGTAGGCAATAGTTAATCCCATAGGAGAATTCAGAAAGTGAGAATGCATTGATGTACGTTCTTTCATGCCAAAATGGTTGTTGAAAAGTCAGTCTTATTACAAATTCAGGATGTTAGACTTTATTTCATTTGTTCTATGCATTACTCATGGAGGCAGAAAAGTAAGTGTGCACCCATTTGCTATTAGCAGTAGATCAGTTTATTGTTTTTGAGTTTTTTATTAAAAAAATTTCAGTTAAAACTTTTATAATCCTGTTCTTAAAGATGGTTGCCTTTTCACAGACCTAGGGAGAATTTGAGTGTAATATCCATGAATCATTTTTCAAACATGCTGCAAGAAGTTGTTTTTTATTTTGCCAATTTATTTTTAAAGATAAAGTGTTTTTTAGAAATTGGGCTTATATGATTGTTCTGACTTAAGACAAACAACCTTGTTCTGGAAGAAATGGGTAGTAAGGGTCAGTTGCTCGACTGTCTAAACAGAGCAGAAGGATTCTGGTACAGAGTTTACTGGGTTTTAACATAGAGGTGTTGAGCCTTTCTCTCTAATTCTTGCTGAAATATCTTTGGAGATTTGTAACTGTCTCAAGTGCTCTCACTGTAATTAGTGGTGTAGGAAAATTGTGCAGCAAGGCTCGGTAAAAGACTTCATGGGAGGAGAAGGTGGTATTAAACAAAAGTGGTTTCTCTTTCTCACAGATTTCACTTGCTAACACTCTCACAGCCACATGCAGTCACCAAGATGCATGTATCTAGGGCCAGGATTACTTCTGTGCTGCTCCAAGGATAAAGAACGCTCTGTTGAGTCCTCACTTCATCTCTTGGCTTCCTCTTGACTGGTGATGACAAACTGGTTGTTAGAGAGAACTGTTTTCTAGATTCCCTTTAAGAATCAAAACAATTCAGAATTGTGCTTACTTCAGCTGCCATAAATCTTGAGCAAGGTTGCTGAAAAGTGTCTTTGCTGGGAATCTTTGTAGCTACAGTCTATCTTCCTGGTGGGGTAACACCAAGAGGAGTGGCGCATATGATGTGGTAACCTCATCATTATCCTGTTATCAGAGCATATTTGTCTTCTGCTGACAAACCATCTTTGCTGTGGCCTTATCTGATTATTAACCTTCTTGTGATACAAGCATCACATTGCATGGTGTTTACCAGCTTGGTTCCTGTGGATCCTGTCCTTGATTATCAGGGCATGTTATTTTTGGAATGCCAGATACTTCCATGCATACTTATTTCATAGTGATCTTAATATTTAGTTAACCAATTTTTGTAGTGAATGAGGTGTTAAGTTTTTAATGTGTGTGGGTTTTTTTTCTCAGCTCTTAGGAAGCCAGCAGAAATGAGATACAAAACACTCTCTGAGTCTTTTCCTTGCATGTTTCCATGTTCATTCCATGAGGGGGCCAGTGCTGTTCTTGTGAAGCTAGGCAAAGATTTGTATTTCTAGTGTTAAGAACAAGAAATAGATTGTTATTTTCTTTAAACGTGTATAGGAGTTATCTGCAAGAAGAACATGAAATATGAAGAGAGGAAAATATATTAAATTAATTGAAACACCTTTTTTTTTGTCAGACTTCATCCGTGCATTCTGGGTGAAGAAACTTGAAAAAATCTGTGTAAAGAAACACTTGCTTAAATATGTGCTTAGGGCTAAATAAAACAAAATGGTTGGTGCAGATGTTAGTGACTTCTGGGTGATAGTATGTATTCCCAGAAGTCCCTGAGGAATATATGCACAAGATGTGGAAACAGTATCGTGTTGAGGGAAAACATGGATACTTACAAAGGCCAGCATGAGGAGGAGAAAAGGGAGTTGGCAGAGGAATAGGTTGTAAGGAAGACAGCTTAAACGTAGATTGAAGCTTTGTTGTGAAAGAGTTTTATTTCAGTTAACTTGTACAAATCAGTCATTCTCAAATTGCATATTAATTATGCAAGAGAAGCATGTCTTCACATGTTTAAGTTACTGGTGTACTTGCATTCCTGCAAGCTCTATCAAGCTTCTCTGGTGCACATACTGCTGAGCTTGTCTCCAGAGTAGGCAGATCATAGCACTCAAAAAATACCCAACATATGTGGCTACTCAAAGCAATAAGTAAAACATTTCTTTGTAGAAGAGAAGGTGTCTCTCTGGCTTGCAGTTCTGTGCAACAATTACTAAAATGGTATGAGGTGTCCATGTTTCCAAATTAAAGTCTCTTCTTTCAAGATGTTTCAAAGTCAGGATGTTCCTTTGTCTTTTTGTTGCTTTGTTTTTTGGTTTGTTTTTTTTTCCTCCCCCTGCTCTCTAACTGGATTCTACTAAAGATACTTTCAGGATTGTTCCCTTTGCCTAGCTCTTGGTTATTCTACTAGCAATATTTGAGGGTTTTAACTTGCCAGTTACTACACTTTTTTTTTTTTTTTTCCCTCTTGAAGATATTGTAGGTATGTGGTATACTAGTTCACCTGAAGTGCATTTCTGTCAAATGAGTTTCTGGCAGAAATATGTCAGTTGTATCAAAGTGTCCTTTCATGTCTAAACACAGGTATTGTTAGATACTGTAGACATCTAGAGTCTCTGTACTACCATGATACTACTTTACTGTCACCTAAGGGTAATAGGGAGATCTCTATGCTTTCAGCATTTGAAAATTTTGGTAGCTAGTTTCAAACATAACTTAAAATGTTGTTCAGTATATTTTGCTGATGGAGATGCAAAATAATCCCAGAAGTGGTTTCTTTTGTCATCTTTGTGGAGGAAGCAGTAATAATATGGAATAGTGTCAAGAAGTCTACAGGAATGTCTACAGTATATGTAAGCTTTTATGAAATCAAGAATGGAAAACTTCTAAGTTTGAAAATGTATGTGTAGAACATAAAAAGTTATACAATTAATTTAGTATTTAAAGGTGATAAGACTACCTCTACATGCTTATTGCTTAGCTATTTGATTTCAACACATAGTAAAATCAGAGGAGGTTCAGCTAAACAGTGCTCTTGATGTAACCAGCTATTTAAGGCATGTCCACGTATGGAACAGTGTCAGTGTTACATTGCCCTGGGACAGGCTGGCCACCATTTTATTAGAGAAAATCTGATCTGTTGGTGGAAAGTTGAAATTTAGCATTACTTATTATTTCATAATTAAATGTTTTTAAGGCTGATTGTTCTTCTTGTTGGTTTGAGATTAAAAATGTTAATATTTGTGGATATTTCAGGGAAATTGGCAGACCCCTGTATAATTTGTTACTATGAAACTTAATCACTTTGGGGAATGGTGTGTGTAAAAAAAACCAAACCCCCAAAACAAAACACATTTTTTTTTATCTTCCTCTTTTTATTACCTTAACTCCTTTAGGATGGCACGCGGCCTCTGCTAGATATTGATGTAAGCCTTGAAGAAATTGCTTACAGTCAACATTGTGATTGTTATACGTGAGTAGCTTCTGGTTTTGACTTTAATATTTAATGGGCAGTGCCAGATGTCTTCTGATGCATGATAATGTGTCTTATGTTGTTGTTACTAAGAGGTTCTCTTAACTTTCAGGGTTTAAAAGCCTTTTCCCTTACTCCATTTTTCTTTCTTTCACTTGTGCTTTTTCCCAGGGAATTGGTAGGAATATATGGATGCTAAAGTCTCTTTCATCTGGAATAGTCCTCCTCATGTTGTAAAGACAGATCAGTAGAGGCCTCTTAGTTTTGATTGGGTTTATTTTATAGTTCTTGCATAATCTGAGGATGAGTCCTCTCTAAATTGTGGACCCATATACAATGATGATGAAAGCAAATTGGTTAAACAACTAAATATAAACAACTTGTTCTGTCACACAGTTGAAAGCAATGTGTTTGACAAAGTAATGAGGGCCTATTTCATCTTGTACTTTGGGAATACCAAGGTGTGTTTTTTAGGAAAGCAAGATAGCCATCTGAGAATAACTTGCAATTGCGTTCTACAAAATTTTAAGCAGCTTTAATCTATTAAGTGATTTATTAGTAGTTAATGATTTTGTGGAGTTCACAAAAGATAAAGTTTATGACATGTTGCTTGTCACAATATTGCTTTTGAATCTTAAAAATGGAGGCTATCACCAGTAATGAGTTTTAGTTTTGTCATTGTTTCATACTTTGAAAGATTAGCACTTTTTCTTTCTCTCTGCCCCTTTCACTCACTGTCTTTTTCTTGGGGTGTGTGTGGGTTTTGGTTTTTGGTGAGTTGTTTCTTGTTAAGTGTGTGTTTATATTTTGGATTTTGTTGGTTCTGGTTTTTTGTTTGTGGGGTGTGAGGTTTTTTTCAGTTGTTTTTTGGTTTTGTTTTTAAATACAGCAGTATTCCTAGCATTCCCATATGAAGCATGGAGTTAATTGTGAAAATTATCTTTAGTTCAATGACTTGTAGCAGTTTGAAGGCTTGTGAAAAGTTCAACAGCTGGAAACAAATATTTAGAAAGACTGATCTGACCATGTTTTGTGGATACTGTTCTTTTAAGAGCATGTTAACTTGGCTTGCTCAAAGCTACATCAACAGCCAACTCCCTTTTTGTAATAACAGGTGATTCCATTTGAATCTTTCATAAGACTGATACAGAAAAAATATATTGTTCCCACCAAGTGGCACAGTATTAATGAATCCTGGCATTTTTAAGGATGCTGGGTGGGTTTTTTGCCTCTTTCCTTGCTTATTTATTTGATCTTAATCTGTGGCTAAAACCTGGAGGATGTCACTCTATAATGAAGGTTACAGCACTCAGTAGTCCTCAGACCTCTTTCCAGTGTTCTTAAGACAAATCCTTATGACAGGACAACCAGTCTTTTCCCATCATTTGTAGTGTCTTGCCTTTCTGCATGCCATCAGCAAAAGACAAGAGAAATTTATCTTAAAATAACTTATTCTGTTTATAGAGGGGCAGACCTTTCTGCTCTAGTGCGTGAGGCTTCAGTTTGTGCCTTGAGACAGGAAATGGCCCTGCAGAATACTCAAAACAAGAAAGGTAAGAAAGCTTTACAAAAATCTGAACAGTGAGAAGATAAATGGAATATAAAGTATTGAAGGTAATTAAAGACAAGCATAAAGGTGTGCATGCTGTACATAAATGATTGATCACTTCTGTGCCAAACAAAAATTAAGTTAGATTTGTTTCCAGAGCACATAAGCATCTTTGAAACAGATGTAGGGGAGACTACAGAAAGAAATGGTTATCCTGAAGGTTCAGTATAATTTTTCTACAAGAATTCAATCTTAAAGAAAAGTTTAGGCTAAATGGTACTATAAACTGACAATATATATACTAGACTGAATACATCTTTGCCAAATTTCCACATCGCTATCAAAGACTAGTTATGCTGACTTATTTTGCAGATTTGAGTACAGTTGTAACTGCACACATACTGATCACATACCTTTTACACACAATTGTATTGTGTAACTGAATATGTACATCTAGTAGTAATGGTGCTAGGAAAATCTGAGTGCCATTTTTGATCTTAGATGTTTGGCTCATCAGTAGCTCTTGCCGACTTTAACAGGGAGTTATAAATTGTTTCAAGTACAATATTTGCCCTTTCCATATCTTTATGCACTTCTGTGGGTTTTTTTGTATTTTCGTGGTATTTTAAATTACTATTTTTACGTGGAGATAGGAAAATATAGTTGGAAATTGAAACTTTATATAAAACGTATGTGTATCTAGATATTTTTTTCCAGTAATTTTGTTTGCTATTTTACCTTTAAGTCAAAACGCAAAGCAAAAATGGAATTGTGACTTTTCAGATTATGTCCTTGGAAAATATATTAGGCTTTCATTATGCCTCCGATTTGAGCACCATGCTGGAATTTTAATGGCTTTGAGTCATTCTTTTTGATCTTGTATATATCCAGTCTTGTCTGGTTTTTAACAACAACAGGTTAATAGAGCAGAACGTTTGTCTTTCTTGTTTTGAGGGAACTAGCATGTTCATGTGGAGGGGGGAAAGAAAAACTATAAGAACTTCACTATTGTATGACATGGTTAGCCATTTTGCTTGCTGTAGATAAAAAAAGCTATTGCTTTGTGATGGAAATTTCTGAATTTATCCTGTTAGTTTTTATAGTTATCCAGAATTCAGCAGGCTTTATTCAAAGATGTTCATCACTTGAATTCAGCCATCACATTTAGGATTGCAGTGTGAGCACTTACTGTATGGATGTGTTGGCAGCCAGCAGGTCCATAATATATGCATAGCTTCATCTGCATGTTTATAACTGCTGTTCCTTTGGGATGTCTTTGGGTTTGGTTTTCCAAGATGTCAGCCCTGGCTGGTATGAAAGCATGTAAGGCAATTTCTGATTTGAGACCTTGTTCATTTAATATTTTCAAAAGGTAGCCTGTACACCAACTGGAGAAATTTTTCCTTCAGTGTTACCACAGGACACACACAACTGGCTCCCCTCCCTACTTTGTACATGACTGTAGATGGGTGCTGTGTGTCCTCATCAGTCAGTACTTTGGAACCACCTGGCTAAAATGAGTGCTGCTCCTTTCTATTATGTAGAAACTGTTGCAACTTCATTGTTATACCTGATATTTTCCCTCTGGAATAAATCCAGGGGTGTGGTTATTTTAACACTCAGCTGTGGTTTTGCTTGAAGGGACTTTTTTATAGGGAAATGGAAAGGTATCCATTTTGTGGTATTTCTTAAAATAATCCAACTTGAAGAGTCCCAGGAGAAGTAATCACATTAGTCACTGCAGTATGTAGTTTGTCTGGAGAAGTGGAAGGAATCCTAACAAAGATTGTGCAAATTTCAGTTTTATGATGTCCCCCTGGAGTTCCTCATCATTGGTATTTGCTCAGAAGGGTTCAGGAGTTTCCATTTCTGGCTCCCTCTTCCAAACCACTGTTGAAGATGCTGCATAAAATTGATTTCAGCACCAATACTGGAGTGGGACCCTACTGTTGTCTGTTCCCTATCCTGAAAAGTGACCATTAAGCCTTACAGTTTATTTCATGAACTTTAATCAGCTTTCTGTCCACCAAAGGATCCTTCCTACAATTCTTTTGAGTTTACTAGTCCTCTGGTGATTGTAACAAGGAGTTACATGACTTGGCCAGCCATTTTGCAGTTTCATAAACAATTTCCTTTGGAACCTTTGGGTAAACACCATCTGGTCCTGGTGACTTACTATTAACATTCTAACTTTAATACTTCCTGTATACTTCAAATAGATCTAGTTACAAAGTATATATAGGGTATGAGTATCTCTTGACACTTTCAACTGCAAAGACAAATGCAGATAATTTATTGACCTAAAATATGACTTTATCCTTGAGTGTCCCTTTTTCTGTATTGCATTTTTTTTAAAAGATAGCCAGTGATCCCACATCACCTGCATAGTCTGTAAATCTGATCTTCTTAAGCAAAGATTGAGACTTTGTGTTATGGCAGTTAAGAACAAGTATGGTTTAACAAGTGAGATTAATTAAACTTTCACATTAAAGGGAAAGGGACCAGCTATCCTTACTTCATCTCTGTAAGTAGGAAAAACAGTTTCATATTTGGTGTTTTAAGTACTTGGTCTTATTGTAAAAAGATTATACCTGTTGATATACTTCATTATTTTAATTTATCATTAATTTCTCAGTATGAATTGTTTTAAATAATGAAACATTCAGACTAAATTGTTTTGTCATCAGAAATCAAGAGAAACACTTAAGTATTGTTTGGCTTAAGGTGCAAGGGATAGAGGGATTAAGGTCTTGCCTAAGATCATAGACAGGAGGCTATATGAGTAAGGTGTGCATAACACTACTGAATTAGATCTCATCCAACTGACTAGCACATGCAGTTAAGTTAGCTTTCATGAATGCTGCCTTGAAATACAGGCAACAAATCACTTGATTGTCACTTGCCTGCAATTTTAGTCATTTATTGTGCTTTGCTCTTTAAGGAGAAATCAAGATTTCCCATAAACACTTTGAAGAAGCTTTTAGGAAAGTGAAATCTTCAGTATCAAAAAAGGTAAGATAAGCTTCAAGTATGTAAGACTTGTTGCTCCCTTGGAAATTTTACTCTTATACTGGAGTCTGGTGAGAACAGTTAAGGTTACAGCATGCTTGCATGTATTTCAAACATACACTACATGTTTCTGCATTAAACAAACCTGGTGGTTTTTACAAGGTCAGAAATCAAAGTCTCCCTTTTCAGCTGTAGATGACACATTGCTGGTAGATGGATTACCCATGCTATCAAGGTTATCTTTTAGTATGGCACCTTAAACTTCTCACTGACACTGAGTGTTACTGACCTGGTCCAAATCTCTTCTAGAAGTATGTGGAATTTTCAGTTAAAAGTCCTTTAGAGTGCATCACACCTTGCCACCACTTTTTTTTCCCTCGATGAATGTAACACCCAAAGATGCTCAACCACTTCTGTTAATGTGCAAAAAGCATCATTTTAAGATACAACATAAAACAGATTTTATCATCTTAGTCACAAGCAGTAACTCTTTTCATTATTTACATTTGTCAAGGAAGTTTGTTTTAAAGGTTTCCTTATGACCTGTTCTTTTTAATGACTGAAAGGAAAGCTGTTCAACCACCTTAATTACTGTAATTGAGAAGGTTTTTTATATATATGTATATATATATATATATATATGAATTGTTATTGCTGCAGAGCTTTTGTTGCCAAGAGTATATTGCAACCAAAATACATTAATATATTCACTTTTAACACAGCCAGAGAGAAGTTAACTCGTTAACTATTTCCTTTCATTATTATTGTATGTTGACAGTCAGTGACCTTTTTCTAAAATTTAGAAGTTATCTTTGGCTCTAAGCGCCTTTAAAGATGGCATTGGTGGTTGTTTTCTTTTACTGAGCAAACTGTTTAGAAGCAACAGCCACAAACACTTAAAACATCTCCTCTAACAAAGCAATCGCTATTAAGTATTAGGACATACTTATGGTTCTTAAGAGTTAACTAGGATGTCACTCTGCATCTCAAAGGCAGCCTAAACATCATGTCTCAGAGCCCTATATTTCAGTTATAGCCATCTGAGGAGTTTTCAGTTAAGTATTCTGAATTTTTTTTGGAGTACAAGATACTCATCTTCCATTTCCAGATGCTACTTCCTATCTACTGGACATATTCAATCTGAAAAACTCTCTAGAAACCTTCCTATGAATACTAGAAAATAAAAAGCTGCATCTCACTGATTTAGTGCTTTTAATTCTTCTTTTCCCTCCCATACATATCTCTGCATTCAATTAACTTGCTTTTGGTTTAATTTGTTAGCTTGAGACAAACCAAAATAAGTTGTTCTTATGGATACCTTCTGAAGCCAGTTATTTCTTTAGAAGTTAACATCTCTAAGTATTCTGTTCCTTAAAACTGTCATTTTGTTGACTAGTGAAAAGGATTAAGGAACAGTTAGTTAAGTTAAACTAGTAAAAAGATCTTGTCCTTTGAACTAGATGGGGGAGTAAAGAGTCAATTCAGTAGCCCCCTTGGTAAAGAGGGTACTTATCTTGTTAGTGAAGCTGCACTCTGAAGCCAGCATGCACTATTCAGTGTGAGGGCTCTGCCAGAGGCTTTTGTTAATTACAGATCATTGGTGACTATCACTGGAGAACCTCATTTATGAGCCAGCATAGTAGGCTTTTGCCTCATCGAGTTTGTTTGTAAATGTTTTAAAATAGAGCTAATGACTCAGAGATGGTTTGTTTCACTGTATGTATTATTTAACAAAGTCACTTTTAAATATTGCATGATTTTTTGCCATTGTCTGAAGTATTTTTTCCTCTTGGCACTGTTAGGATCAAATAATGTATGAAGAACTACGTCAGTCACTGTGCAGGTGATACATTTGGACAATTCCCAAAAGAGACTTGTTCTACATTGGTGGAGAGTTCGTTATACCTGTGCCAGATTTCAAGAGACAGCTGTACTAAACATCTCACCTTTTTCAACTGTACCTGAAAAAAGGTTGTCATAACCTACTGCCTAACCATCTTTAAATATTTCCAGAATAAAAGATGCAATACACACTTCCTGCTTATCACCACTTATATTTTAAAAATTTTTTTAGTGCTAAAGAGCTAACAACCATTCTGATATATTTGGTGCCTTTAATCTAAAGTCCTTCAGAGACAGAGGCCAACTCTTCAAGGTGCTTACATTGTTCAAATAGCTCTTTTCAACCATAAAAGAAAATAGCTGTGTTTTCAAGAATGAGGACTCTGGAAGAATCACTGGGAGAACAGAGCTGTGAAAGTAGACTGTGAAAGTGCTGCACTGTATGTTACCATACTATTACTCATGCCTTTCCCAAATAGTGACACATTATCATTGTGCAAGCACAGTTTCTCAGAGCTTCCCTTCACCTTATCAAAAGAAACTCTCCACAGATGGCAAGCTGTCTAAGAGAGTAAAGTTTGGAAATCTGAGAAGTGCTATGATACTATGGTTTCACAGCCATCCAAGAAAATCTGGAACAGTACAAGATCTAAGAAGCTCCTTCTTAATTAAGTAGACAAAACTGCAACAATAAAAAATTCTGTTAAGCTCAAATCCATAACTCAAGTGTTTTGATATCTTCAGGAAAGGAAGATGTTACTGTTTTAAGAAACAGGCTAAAAGAGACTCAAATTTTTTTTTTTTAAATACAAGAAATTCTATCTTGGAAAGAAGAAGATCATAACTTTCAGCATCAGCAAACTGGGAATTATCTGAGTGAAATGTGATGTGACTGACTTCTGAAACTTAAAAGCCTTAAAGGATTTTTTACCACTGTCAGTCTACAAAGTTCTTTAATCATTAATCTCAGTTCCTATCTTTGATCAGTCTTATTCTTCCTAAAAGCATCAGTCAAAGATCAGAAATGGATGATTTTTACTAGCAAATTTCATAGAAAGTTTTGAGTTTGGTGTTATCTAAAAAATTAAGGTCATGAAATCTCCATGTAAAAAACAGTAAAATAGTTTTTTGTAAGCAAAATTTATTCCATAAGCATCTCACCTACTTCAGTGTTTAAGGGAGGAGATTGTTTAATTATGATTTGAGTGGGAGATTAAACAAAGTTGTCATGCATTGCTAGATGTGACTGACCAACCTGATTGATCTTTAAGACTGATCTTGACTGCAGAGGGAATAGTGACTTACATCTTAGATTCTTCTCCAAATTGTCCTTTTCCCCCAAAGTAAATGTGGAAGGCTATTACAAATAGCTGATCACTACAGACTTGTGTTTAAAAATACTGACACTCATGGGAGCTTTACACTGTCATTTTTGGACAATATGGTACAATATTCCCCAAGACTGTGACTCAAGTTGTTGCCATGTGACTAAACAAATGAAATCCCTGCACGTGTCTGCTTGTAATTGTAAATCAGGCTTGGAGCTTCAGGAATTATTGTGATTCCCAGAAATCCAAGATGAAGTATCATAGTTTTATCTCAGAATAGTTTCACTTGTAGATGTTCGCTACTGTGAGGGCAATGCAATTAGTATACATCAGTTAAGTCACTAATGTTAATGTAAAATTATGTACAGAGCTATACAAGAATGACTTATGTTACATAAACTGTTTTAGTTCTAAATCTACAACTTTTTACAGGTTTTTTACCACCTTTCTTAAATAAAAGGTTTTTGCTCTATAGGAAGCTACAACTGTGAGAAAGCTTCCTTTCTGTGAACTCTTAATACAATAGTACACTCAATTTGCTTAAATGAGAGTTAACCAATGAAAAAAAGAATCAAGCAGGAATCCCAGGAAAATAGTATAGGATACCTCAAATATCAATTTGGAAACTGTCACCCATTCTGCCTTTAGATAGGGTAATTCTAAAGGTCATCACTCTTTTTACCTACCTGTGGCATCTGTCAACTTTTCTTGGAAAAAAATGTGGCAAGCAAGCCAGTCTATACAGTTTAAAATAACCACATGAATGATTTCGATAGATATATAGATTAAGATCCTGCTACCATACTTAAAGATAGCTTATGAAGGAGTAAAGTCCTCAAGGCCTGGCATACTCACCTAAATCTTTTCCCTCCTCTCTTATGATGGTATTACTCCTCTGTATACATGGAACAAGAAAACAAGGTAGGACTTGCAAGGCAAGACAAGGAGGAAATACTATTCAAGTAATAGTAACAGTATTACTATTTGCATAGTAATAACAATAAAGTCTTGTCAGGAGTTCTAACACAAAACATGTTTAATAAACAAGGTGTCTGATGATCACTCTTAACATGTGATAGTAGAAGGGGAAGTGGGGTACAGAAGGGTTTGAATTTACAAGAACATCTGAAGTTAAGTTGAAGGGCAGAAAAAGCCAGATCAGTCAAGTGTCTGTAACCTGTTTGCTCACCTGTCTGGGCTACTTGTGTGTCAAGGAGCAAACAAGGGTAGGCAACTAAGCTCTGATTGCTCACAGAAGGAAGTGCTGTACCCACACTGCTCCTTTTTCTTGTGGGAAATTCTGCTTAGGCTATAGTACTTATCACTGAAAAAACTTGATAAGTACAATGCAAGATCTCTTGTACACAGAAAATGGAACTGCTTAAAGGAACAAGCCTTGTCATTCAATACAGAGACCACTACTTTGTTCTGCATATGCACCAACCACTCCTTCTAGGAGACATGCCTAGAGGTTTTCCCTGTAGTCATCTTGTTTCTCTTGTGACAAGATTAAGAAATCATTTATCATGCCCTTCTCTCCCTTTTCCTGAGGCTAGCCACATATCTACATTACAAGAATGATTCTGTCCCAGAGCATATTACATGCTAACTTAAGCACAGATGGAGCAGAGGCAGTGCAAGGAACTGTCAGCAATAAAATGCTGTCTTCACTCTGCCCCCACTCAAGTTTTGTATACTGCTACAGGATTGATCATGAAATGAGGATTTATCAAGAACTAATTGTGCACATGGAGTTGCAGTTTGCTAAAGGCATTTCTACATGATTTAGATGCACCTATTTGTCAGGTTGTTTTCCAGGGACCTTGCAGAAGCAATCTTGGCAGACCCAGAAGTGGCTTCTGTGCTTTGCCACATACAAGCTAAAACAGCAGAACTTGCTTTGCCTTAAATCTTTATAGAGATTCTTTCAAATCAGAGGAGTAGACTTTCCAAAAGCTACATCTTAGACCACTTATCATGCATGGATCAGCACCTGAAAGCAACTTTTCTCCTCCTGTTTGTCCAACAGGATGAGTATGGCAGCCCGCTATCTACAGTGTTGGAATTACTGGTTGTTGAACCTCATCATTAAGAAAGGAATGAACAGCTTTTAAGTTCTACTGTGGCATGCCAGTTCAGCTGATACAAGAACACATGCCAAGAAGGCAGATGTGAATCACTGAGCTCATTATCTAAGTGTCCACTTACACTCTAATTCTCTACATCTGTAGACTATGTGTTATGTGCTTGCTGGCTACATTTAAAGACTTAACCAGAGGAATTGAGACACAGAACCAAAAGTCTTACCTACTTTTCAACTGACCTGTGATTCCAGGTAGGAAGTCTTGCCCTGGAACTGAAAGTATGGAGCTCTGTAGCCAGAAACATGCACCCATTTAACACATGTTAACTGGCCACTGTTGTGGAGCAGACAGGTTCAAAAGCAAAACAAGAATGCTAGAGGCAAGAGTTGTTTTGAAAGAGAAATATACCCAACACCTGTCCTGTGAGAAAACTCATGCCTAGTATAATAAGATTCCAGGATGCATTATTTATTCTACTTAAGCAGCTTCAGAATAACTTAGTTTGCTCTAAGTTACTCTGTGAACTGGTTCAGCTAGGATAGGGTTAAGTTTTCCCTGAAAGGGATTCAGAGCTCTGCACAATTTAACTGCAGCTAAAATACCTGTATGACACATTTAACACAGCTGACCTAAAGTCATCTGTGTTTTGACAGTTAAACTCCTGGCTAATTTCACATAAAGGAAAGGTTTGCCAAACAAGCTAGTAAGATGCTTTAGTTACACAGAAAGGAACAAACCCTAACAAGCATGTAGAAAGGACAAAGTTAAGGCATTCCATCTGATTTATAAAAAGTTGTAATTAGGTTAACTGTCAAGATTCTTAATGCTCATTAAGTTTGTTCTTTACTGGTTATGTTAATATTTCTTATTTCTGTGCCATGCCTTTGGACTAAAGACCACATGATGACTGGAGAAAACTATTTATCTAGAATATTCAAACAAGTCAAGTAGTCCAGCTGGTCTTAATTCCTTTTTGGAAGAAATGCTTCCATAGCTGTTTTTTAGAGATGAAAATATGCTGCAATATAGGTTAACTTTCAGATGACCCACTTCTGGCAAAATCTGTACTACTGAAGTTAGATGCCAAGACCTCACAGGAATTCCATGCCTAAAAATGGTAGTTACCAGTGCTTGCAAGAATCAGACCATGATTTAGATCCAAATTTAATCTCACTGGTCAGATTAACCTAGTCCAGGAAGTCTTCTCCAATAGCAGATGTTTCAGAAAGATTATGGCAAGCATAGGTAGCTCCCTTAGAATTGCCCACCATTCTCCAGCTCTTGAAGTATAAATACTGTGTTTACAATCAGAGTTGGAAGGGAAGATCATAGACAGCATTTGCTATTTGAAACAAGAGATGGCAATTTCAGTCCTGCTCAAAAGCAGGAATTCACACTTACAGTACCCCTTGGGAGGACAGTAAGGGGCATCAGTGATTCCATGGAAGTAGGTAAGCAAGCTTAAGTACAAAATTTTGACTGTGAACTCGTTATCTTAAGTATTCATGTGACATAACTGAGTTCCTTAACTTTAGCTTTTAGCTGTAAAACTTTTTGGAGATGCCTTCCATCCTTCATCCAGCTATGGAAAGCCATCAAAACAAAATAAATTTAATTCCACCTTTCACTTCTTAAAAGTCATGCAGAAGTGACTTAAAAAGAAACTGTTTTGCAATTTATTAAGCCTATTCAAATCTTTCAACCAAAGTCAGTTTTTGCCTGAGTAGAAAAGGCAATGATTCTTTACAGTTCATCTACACCACTACTCAATGGAACAGGTCTTGCATCTGCTTTAGAAATACCAAATTTCTCTACAGCTTAAGTCCTTCAGCATAAGGGATCCAGTCAAAAATTCACCCAGTATTAATATTGGCTTTTTAATTACATGTAAAAATACTGGATAAAATATATTTTGACATTACACTCTATCCTGAGCAGTATGCTGGCTAGCTAGCCTGTTATTGGCATCATAATGAAGTCATTAAGTGGTTGGCACACTTTCATACTATTTCTATTGCTTAACAATAGATAAGGGCCCACACTCAGACAAAACACACGTTAAAAACAGGACTGCAAGCAAGGGTTACGATGTACCAACACATTCTTGTCAGGCACTCACTTTCAAAAAGAACCAAACCCCAAACAAAAATGCAGTTGAAGGCATCTAAAAAGTACTTACAGCAGACCAGCGTGGACAGCAGCTAAGACTTTCCGTCTTTCAGATAAGAGAAGATATAGGATCACCATTTGAGATTTAAGGGTGATTTGTAGCCATCTTTGACAACTTAAAGCCATCATCAATACATTAGATGACAGAAGGCAAATATACTGTGCTGAGGTATGTAGAGATTGTTCAGCAAGTTATTCTCCATTTCCAATTTAAAAACTCCTTCAGCAGGAAATCTGACATCACCACCTGTACTCTCACCACATTTTAATACATAGGAAAGACAAATGTTTATGTAGGGTACTGTAGCTGTAGGTTTGGAGGGGAAAAATAATCATTTAGCAAAACTTTTCTGTGTACACAAAGGACTAATATGCTTAATAGTTGTCAGTGGTTGTAGCTAGCCTTGATTGACAGAATAGTACCTGCTTCAATTCATGCAGTTTTCCATACATGCCAAATTTGTGAGTGTAAATATTTATGGAATAAGCATTTAAAACCATGG